GACTGTTTGGAGCGTCCTGAGGCCGCTCCTTGAGGGGGGGGTACTGTCAGGAATGGACTTGCCAGTAATGGTGGGACTCACCTGCCTTGTGGGCTGCAGTACCAGGGTTGGCCAGCGGGTGCTCTCAGCAATCAGAGACTCAACCCTGCAGTCAGCCCAAACACCTGAAGCTGATTATGCAGGTGTATTTAAGGGATGGCCAGACCTGCAGTCTTTGCCTTGGTGTGTGTTTTGCTATGGGCCCTGTATCTTGTTACCTGCATTCCTGTTCCTGCCTGACTGATTCGTTGCTGACCCTGCCTGATCCGGACCTCTGCTGACTTCTCCTGTTTGATCCCTGGCTTGTGACCCCGACCATTCTCTGCCTGACCCGGCCTGCCTGACGACGCTTGCATTGTATGTATTGTTATCTGTGGGTGGTTTGGTTCGTTTGCACTGTGTTATGTTTTAGTATTGCACTGCGTCAGTTCACATACCTCTGGTCATACCCTGGAGCCCTGACACTGCGTGTATTTACACGTGTGTATCTGTACATGTGTCTGTGTGTATGTACATGTACGTGTGTGTACATGTGTCTGTGTACATGTACGTGTGTGTGTGTGTGTGTGTGTGTGTACATGTGCGTGTGTGTGTACATGTGTGTGTATGTACTTGTACAGTGGGGATGGAAAGTTTGGGCACCCCAGCTAAAAATTTGTATTAATGTGCATAAAGAAGCCAAGGAAAGTTGGAAAAATCTCCAAAAGGCATCAAATTACAGATTAGACATTCTTATAATATGTCAACAAAAGTTAGATTTTATTTCCATCATTTACACTTTCAAAATAACAGAAAACAAAAAAATGGCGTCTGCAAAAGTTTGGGCCCCCTGCAGAGTTAATATCTTGTACTGCCCCCTTTGGCAAGTATCACAGCTTGTAAACGCTTTTTGTAGCCAGCCAAGAGTCTTTCAATTCTTGTTTGAGGTATCTTTGCCCATTCTTCCTTACAAAAGTCTTCCGGTTCTTTGAGATTTCTGGGCTGTCTGTCACGCACGGCTCTTTTAAGGTCTATCCATAGATTTTCAATTTGTTGAGGTCAGGAGATTGTGAAGGTCATGGCAAAACCTTCAGTTTACGCCTCTTGATGTAATCCCCCGTGGATTTCGAGGTGTGTTTAGGATCATTATCCATTTGTAGAAGCCATCCTCTCTTTAACTTCAGCTTTTTCACAGATGGCATCAAGTTACCATCCAAAATTTGCTGAAATTTTATTGAATCCATTTTTCCTTCTACTCGTGAGATGTTCCCTGTGCCACTGGCTGCAACACAACCCCAAAGCATGATGATTGGTCCAACCCCATGCTTAACAGTTGGACAGAGGTTCTTTTCATTCAATTCTGTGCCCCTTCTTCTCCAAACGTACCTTTGCTCATTCCGGCCAAAAAGTTCCATTTTAACCTCATCGGTCCACAGAACTTGTTTCCAAAATGCATCAGGCTTGTCTATATGTTCATTTGCAAAGTTCAAACGATGATTTTTGTGGTGAGGACGTAGAAGAGGTTTTCTTCTGATGACTCTTCCATGAAGACCATATTTGTACAAGTATCTCTTTATAGTGGAATAGTGTACCACAACTCCAGTGTCTGCCAGATCTTTCTGGAGGGATCGTGCAGTCAAACGTGGGTTTTGAATTGTTTTTCTCACAATCCTGCGAGCTGTTCTGTCTGATATTTTTCTTGGTCTTCCAGATCTTGCTTTAACTTCCACTGTTCCTGATGACTGCCATTTCTTAATTACATTCCGAACAGAGGATATTGACATCTGAAAACGCTTTGCTATCTTCTTATAGCCTTCTCCAGCTTTGTGAGCGTCAACTATTTTCAGTTTCAGTTTTCTAGACAACTGCTTAGAAGAACCCATGGTGCTGATTGTTGGGGCAAGGTCAGATGAGTCTGGGCATTTAAAACCTTTGAGATTGACATCACCTGGTCTTCCCAGACGATGATTGAGAACAATCCATGACACTGGCAGGTCTCAGCTTGGCAAAGGGGGCAGTGCATGCTATAAATTCTGCAGGGTGCCCAAACTTTTGCAGACGCCATTTTTTTGTTTTCTGTTATTTTGAAAGTGTAAATGATGGAAATAAAATCTAACTTTTGTTGACATATTATAAGAATGTCTAATCTGTAATTTGATGCCTTTTGGAGATTTTTCCATCTTTCCTTGGCTTCTTTATGCACATTAAATTTTTAGCTGGGGTGCCCAAACTTTCGATCCCCACTGTACGTGTGTGTGTGCATATGCGTGTGTGTGTGTGTGTGTGTGTGTATATACATGTGTGTGTGCATATACATGTGTGTATATACGTGTGTGTATTTCTGTGCATATACATGTATCTGTGTGTATGCGTGTCTGTACGTGCCTGTGTGTGTATACAGGTGTCTGTATGTGTGTGTGTATATGTATCTGTGTGTATGCGTCTGTATGTGTGTACATGTTTCTGTGTGTGTATGTGTACATGTGTCTCTGTGCCTGTGTGTACATGTATCTGTGTGTATGCGTGTCTGTACGTGCCTGTGTGTGTACATGTGTCTGTGTGTGTGTGTGTACATGTACCTGTGTGTATGCGTCTGTATGTGTGTATATGTTTCTGTGTGTGTATGTGTACATGTGTCTCTGCGTGTGTGTACATGTATCTGTGTGTATGCGTGTCTGTATGTGTGTACATGTTTGTTTGTGTACATGTCTGTGTGTGTGTGTACAGGTGTCTCTGTTTGTGTGTGTTTGTTGGTGGCGAGTAACTCTAAGGCCTGGCTAGTAGCTCAGGACTTGACATTTGAAGCCCTGGTATAGTGTCCCATAGAACATTTTGATTCTGAAAGGAAAGGAAAGTTTTTCAGACAGATGTGTTGGTGTACTCAGTTATGCCGAGCTCTGTAGGTTGGTGTTGGAGTCAGTATTTTTTTGGCAGTAAAAAAAAAAAAAAAAAATACAAAATAGAGGTTTTCATTATTATTTCATTACATTTATCACCAAATGAAGGCTGAGATGAATGCGATATATTTCACCCGGATGAACCGAGTAGTTGCGATGATAGATTCAGTTTCACCAACACAAGCCAGACTTACAAATCCGGAGTCAGATGTTACCACTTGCCGTCTGGCCGCTGTATATAAACGGCCAGACGGTGGCAGTGCAGGGTTGGCTTGTCGTTCATAAACGGCGCCTGCCATTTTGGATTGTGCGCGCGCTCCCTGGGACACAGCAGAACACCGATCGCTGTATGGGACCTTTGTGTGAGGTCCCAATCATGTGATCACTGATTGGCCAATCAGTGATCACATGAACAGATGTCACTTCTGACTACTACTTACTACGTGTGGAATCTGTGAATGATCACAGAGATCACATGGTACGGGGCCATTCACAACAGCCTTGTACCATGTGACAAGCTGTGACCAATCACAGCTCTCACAGTATTTCTCAATGACTGCAGGAATACAGCTGTAGAGAGAAGGAAAAATTATTGCTTTTACAGCCTTTATGGGTATAAAAGCAATCAGTGTAAAAAAAAAAATTTTTCATCACCCCCCACAAGTAGTACAGTGTCACTATGGAGACACTGTACTGCTAGCGTGACAGTATGTAAAAAAAAAAAAAAAAACAAATAATATAAAAAAATAAAATAAAAGTGTAAAAAAAATTCTTAAAAAATTATAATTTTTGGTTAGAAACTAATTTGGGTTTGTTTTTTTTTTTTACTAAAAAGATAACTGAAGAAATTTTGGCCAAGATTTATGAAATAAGATTATTTATTTGCAAAATTTTATAAGAAAAACATTTTTTTTCCAAAATTTTTGGACTTTTTCATTTATATAGCAAAAAAAATTAAAATCCCAGTGGTGAATAAATACCACCAAAATAAAGCTTTATCTGTCTCAAAAAAAATGCTTAAAAATTCATATGGGTACAGTGTTGCATGACCGCGCAATTGTCATTGAAAGTGTGATAGCGCTGAAAGCTGAAAATTGGCCTGGACAGGAAGGGGGGGAGTGTCCAGACTGGAAGGGGGGGGGGGGGGGGAGTGTCAAGACTGGAAGGGGGGGGGGGAAGTGTCCAGACTGGAAGGGGGGGGGGGGGTGAAGTGTCAAGACTGGAATGGGGGGATGTCCAACCTGGGGGGGGGGGACAGACTGGAAGGGGGGGGGGGGGGGGAAGTGTCAAGACTGGAAGGTGGGGGGGGGGAAAGTGTCCAGACTGGAGGGGGGGGGGGCAGTGTCCAGACTGGAGGGGGGGGGGGAGTGTCCAGACTGGAAGGGGGGGGGGTCCAGGTGTCCAGACTGGAAGGGGGGGGGGAGTGTCCAGACTGGAAGGGGGGGGGGAGTGTCCAGACTGGAAGGGGGGGGGAGTGTCCAGACTGGAAGGGGGGGGAGTGTCCAGACTGGAAGGGGGGGGAGTGTCCAGACTGGAAGGGGGGGGGAGTGTCCAGACTGGAAGGGGGGGGGAGTGTCCAGACTGGAAGGGGGGGAAAGTGTCCAGACTGGAAGGGGGGGGAGTGTCCAGACTGGAAGGGGGGGGAGTGTCCAGACTGGAAGGGGGGGGAGTGTCCAGACTGGAAGGGGGGGAGTGTCCAGAGCCTGGAAGGGGGGGAAAGTGTCCGGACTGGAAGGGGGGGAAAGTGTCCGGACTGGAAGGGGGGAAAGTGTCCGGACTGGAAGGGGGGGAAAGTGTCCGGACTGGAAGGGGGGGAAAGTGTCCGGACTGGAAGGGGGGGAAAGTGTCCGGACTGGAAGGGGGGGAAAGTGTCCGGACTGGAAGGGGGGGAAAGTGTCCGGACTGGAAGGGGGGGGAAAGTGTCCGGACTGGAAGGGGGGGGTGAAAAGTCCGGACTGGGAAGGGGGGGAAAGGGTCCGGACTGGAAGGGGGGGAAAGTGTCCGGACTGGAAGTGGTTAAGGTTTGTTTTTACCTTTGGAAATTAAAGGGTTAATCTGAATCTTTCTGGAAACAAGAACGTGTACCTGCATGAAGGTCCTGTATTCCGTACTTTGCACCCCTCCCTCCGCAGGCGAGGTCAGGGATGTCTCTCCCTCTCTCTGGCGAGGTCAGGGATGTCTCTCTCTCTCTGGCGAGGTCAGGGATGTCTCTCTCTCTCTCTCAGGATGTCTCTCTCTCTCTCGGGCGAGGTCAGGGATGTCTCTCTCCCTCTCTCAGGCGAGGTCAGGGATGTCTCTCCTCTCTCTGGCGAGGTCAGGGATGTCTCTCTCTCTCAGGCGAGCGAGGTCAGGGATGTCTCTCTCTCTCTCAGGGGCGAGGTCAGGGATGTCTCTCCCTCTCTCAGGCGAGGTCAGGGATGTCTCTCTCTCTCAGGCGAGGTCAGGGTCTCTCTCTCTCAGGCGAGGTCAGGGATGTCAGGCGAGGTCAGGGATGTCTCTCCTCTCTCAGGCGAGGTCAGGGATGTCTCTCCTCTCTCGGGCGAGGTCAGGGGTCTCTCCCTCTCTCAGGGGAGGTCAGGGATGTCTCCCTCTCTCAGGCGAGGTCAGGGATGTCTCTCCCTCTCTCAGGCGAGGTCAGGGATGTCTCTCCCTCTCGCAGGCGAGGTCAGGGATGTCTCTCCTCTCTCTCGGGCGAGGTCAGGGATGTCTCTCCCTCTCTCAGGCGAGGTCAGGGATGTCTCTCTCTCTCTCAGGCGAGGTCAGGGATGTCTCTCCCTCTCTCAGGCGAGGTCAGGGATGTCTCTCTCTCTCTCTCTCAGGCGAGGTCAGGGATGTCTCTCTCCTCTCTCTCAGGCGAGGTCAGGGATGTCTCTCTCTCTCTCAGGCGAGGTCAGGGATGTCTCTCTCTCTCTCTCGCGGGCGAGGTCAGGGATGTCTCTCTCTCTCTCAGGCGAGGTCAGGGATGTCTCTCTCTCTCTCTCGGGCGAGGTCAGGGATGATGTCTCTCTCTCTCTCGCGGGCGAGGTCAGGGATGTCTCTCTCTCTCTCTGGCGAGGTCATTCCAGGGATGTCTCTCTCTCGCGGGCGAGGTCAGGGATGTCTCTCTCTCTCTCTCTCGGGCGAGGTCAGGGATGTCTCTCTCTCTCGGGGCGAGGTCAGGGATGTCTCTCTCTCTCTCAGGGATGGCGGGCGAGGTCAGGGATGTCTCTCTCTCTCTCTCTCGCGGGCGAGGTCAGGGATGATGTCTCTCTCTCTCGGGCGAGGTCAGGGATGTCTCTCTCTCTCTCAGGGCGGGCGCGAGGTCGGGGATGTCTCTCTCTCTCTCTCTCTGGCGAGGTCAGGGATGTCTCTCTCTCTCTCTCGGGCGAGGTCGGGATGTCTCTCTCTCTATGGTGAGGTCGGGGATGTCTGTCTCTCTCTCTCTCGGGTGAGGTCGGGGATGTCTCTCTCTCTCTCTCTGGTGAGGTCGGGGATGTCTCTCTCTCTCTCTATGGTGAGGTCAGGGATGTCTTGTCTCTCTCTCTCTCGGGCTCTGGTGAGGTCGGGGATTCTCTCTCTCTCTGCGGGGAGGTCAGGGATGTCTCTCTCTCTCTCGCGGGGTGAGGTCAGGGATGTCTCTCTCTCTCTCCGCGGTGAGGTCAGGGATGTCTGTCTCTCTCTCTGGGGTGAGGTCAGGGGATGTCTCTCTCTCTCTCTGGTGAGGTCAGGGATCTCTCTCTCTCTCTGGTGAGGTCAGGGGGTCTCACTCTCTCTCTGGTGAGGTCAGGGATGTCTCTCTCTCTCTGCGGGTGAGGTCAGGGATGTCTCTCTCTCTCTGGTGAGGTCAGGGATGTCTCTCTCTCTCTCTGGTGAGGTCAGGGGTCTCTCTCTCTCTCTCTCTCTGGGTGAGGTCAGGGGTGTCTCTCTCTCGGGTGCGAGGTCAGGGGTCTCTCTCTCTCTCTCGCATGGTGAGGTCAGGGGTCTCTCTCTCTCTCTGGTGAGGTCAGGGTCTCTCTCTCTCTCGCGGGTGAGGTCAGGGGTGTCTCTCTCTCTCTCTGGTGAGGTCAGGGGTGTCTCTCTCTCTGGTGAGGTCAGGGGTCTCTCTCTCTCTCTCTGGTGAGGTCAGGGAGGGATGTGTCTCTCTCTCTCTCTGGTGAGGTCAGGGATGTCTCTCTCTCGGGGTGAGGTCAGGGGGTCTCTCTCTCTCGGGTGAGGTCAGGGATGTCTCTCTCTCTGGTGAGGTCAGGGATGTCTCTCTCTCTCTCGGGTGAGGTCAGGGATGTGTCTCTCTCTCTCTGGTGAGGTCAGGGATGTCTCTCTCTCATGGTGAGGTCAGGGATGTCTCTCTCTCTCGGTGAGGTCGGGGATGTCTCTCTCTCTCTCTGGTGAGGTCAGGGATGTCTCTCTCTCTCTCGGGTGAGGTCAGGGATGTCTCTCTCTCTCGCGGGTGAGGTCAGGGATGTCTCTCTCTCTCTCTAGCGGGTGAGGTCAGGGATGTCTCTCTCTCTCTCTATGGTGAGGTCAGGGATGTCTCTCTCTCTCTCTCGGTGAGGTCAGGGATGTCTCTCTCTCTGGGAGAGGCAGGGGATGTCTCTCTCTCTCTCGGGTGAGGTCAGGTAGGGTCTCTCTCTCTCTCGGGTGAGGTCAGGGATGTCTCTCTCTCTCTGCGGGTGAGGTCAGGGGATGTCTCTCTCTCTCTCGGGTGAGGTCAGGGGTCTCTCTCTCTCTCGGGTGAGGTCAGGGGTCTCTCTCTCTCGGGTGAGGCCAGGGGTCTCTCTCTCTCGGGGTGAGGTCAGGGGTCTCTCTCTCTCTCTCTGGTGAGGTCAGGGATGTCTCTCTCTCTCTCTCTCTGGTGAGGTCAGGGATGTCTCTCTCTCTCTCTCTGGTGAGGTCAGGGGTCTCTCTCTCAGGTGAGGTCAGGGGTCTCTCTCTCTCTCTCTGGTGAGGCCAGGGGTCTCTCTCTCTGGTGAGGTCAGGGATGTGTCTCTCTCTCATCTCTGGTGAGGTCAGGGGTCTCTCTCTCTCTGGTGAGGTCAGGGGTCTCTCTCTCTCTGGTGAGGTCAGGGGATGTCTCTCTCTCTCTGGTGAGGTCAGGGGTCTCTCTCTCTGGTGAGGGCCAGGGGTCTCTCACTCTCAGGTTGAGGTCAGGGTGGTCTCTCTCTCTGGTGAGGTCAGCGATGTGTCTCTGTCTCTCTCTCTGGTGAGGTGTGGGGGATGTCTGTCTCTCCTCTCTGGTGAGGTCAGGGGTGTCTCTCCTCTCTCTGGTGAGGTCGGGATGTCCTCTCCACAGGGGTCTCTCTCTCAGGTGAGGTCAGGGATGTCTCATTCTCCCCAGGTAGCCCCTGTCACATCCTCGGTGTGGGGTAATAAACAAATCCCGACAGAGGGTCCCCAGCCCCCCACCACAGCTCTCCCCGACCCCGGCATTCTCCCCTCCCACTTACCCGCATGAAAGACACCTCCATGTTTATTTGTCTCCCTCGGCAGGCCCCGCCCCTCCCGCACAAACACGGCTGTGCCGGTAGTAAACCGTCCAATCGATGTGTTAGTATCCTGTCACATGGTCACGCTCCCTCTTCCAGCCAGCTGACCAGCTTAGAAGTCACATGACTCTAGGACGCATAGGACGTCCCAACTCCTGTTAGCGGAGGCCGCCATATTTGAACCTGGCAACTAGCCAATACCTGAGGGAAGCGTGAAGTTAGAAAAGCGGAGCTGAATTGTCTCATGGTGCCTAGAAACCTGACAATAATCTTCTTTTGTCTGCTTTCTTCATTTTTTTCTCATTTTTAGAGTTTTTTTTTTATTAAGCTGGACTGTGCCAATCAAATTAATATACCAATACAAGTCGTGGATTCTTGAATCTTGGGGATCTTTGTGTATTTCTTCCAGATCTGTGCCGTCATCCACGGTGAGGCTTCCTGTAATAAAGACCACTCACTGCTGCTCCCTCTCCTTGTACAAGGTGACTGGTCTTGTCTCCGCCCCCTCCTGTAGATCACTGTATTGGGTGAAGACTGCCAGGCCCCTCCCACAGTCCCTCCCTCTGCTCAGGCTGTGTACAGCACAGTGGTGGCAGTACCTGGGAACTCACTTGTATTGACTCGGCTATGCTGGAATTTTTATTGTTTCAAGTCTTTACCTGAAGCATTACATCTCAGCATTTGTAGAAAAATGTTCATTTTTAACCATTTACCCTCCAGAAGATTTACCCTCCCCCTTCCTGACCAGGCCATTTTTTTGTGATACGTTACTTTAGAGCTTTCTTTCGGCGGTATTCGATCACCTGTGCGTTTTTTATGCTATGAACAAAAAAAGACATAGGATTTAAAAAAACCAAAACAATAATTTTGACTTTTTGCTATAAAATATGTCCAGTAAAAATATTTTAAAAATCAAAATTTGTCATAAATTTAGGCCAAAATGTATTCTTCTGCATGTCTTTGCTAAAAAAAATTCCAATCCGTGTAAATGAATTGTTTTAGATGAAAGTTATAGCGTCTACAAATGGCGGTATATATACTAGGATATTTTTTTAAATTTAATACTTGTAATGGCAGCGATCAGCGACTTATAGCGGGACTGTGGCAAGCATTCTGACATGGGGGGAGGGGGGACTGACTAACTATCACTGACATCCCCAGTGACACAATACAGTGATCGGTGCTAATAAAAAGCACTGACACTGTGCTAATGGCACGGGGGCAGGAAGGGGTTAACATCTGGGATGATCAAAGGGTTAACTGTGTGCTGTGTTTTTTACTAGGGAGACATGCTGCTGTGCAGAGAAATACAAAGCAGCATGTCCTTGCTGGCAGGAGAGAGACCTGTATTGTTTACAACTGGACAGGAGGGAGGGGCCAGGAGTTCCGGTGGGGGACCTCACATGTGGAGGATCCAGGCTTCTCTGTGCAAAACCACAGCACACAGCAGGTAAGTATAGACACGGTTTTCTTCTTTTCTTTAAAAAAAAAAGAAATAAACCTTTAGAATCATTTTAATGCCACCAAAAGAAAGCTCTATGTGTCACAAAAAAAAAATTATAACAGTTTTTATATGGGTACAGTGTTGCATGACTGTGCAACAGAGCTGAAAGCTGAAAATCGGCCTGGGCAGGGAGGGTGTGAAAGTGCCTGGTATTGAAGTGGGTA